ACATCAAGTGCTTTTACTTTAGTCAAATCGTCAAAATGGCCTAGTGGGAAACTACCTCTAGTCAATAATTTAGTTACGTCAATGACTAAAATCAAAAGTTTCGTCATACATCATTAGATACTAGGAATAATCTTGGCTTTGAAGTGAAAAGCTTTGAATAACTATAGCTTGGTATGAAGAACGTCTTTTCAATATGAAAAGGTATTTGTTAGAAGTTTTTCTTTACATTAATTAATCATCAAGTTCATTATAAAAATAATGAGATGTTTTTCTTCATTATGAATTAAAAAATTTTAATATAAAAATGAATGTCAGACTAGAAAAAACAATTATAAGAAACTAAGAAACATCAGAGGCGAAAAAGGCAACACAGCTGTTGGAGATCTACATCTCTCATACGGAAAACTGCACACGCTTGGACAATTTGGAAACACCAAGAAACTCGATACGCAACGTTGATTATCATATGGAGACTTATAGTTAAACCATTACAATCGTTCTCTTGCTCCTCATCCAAATCTGACTAGCTTGCCCTGAGATACAATGGTGCGATTGAATTCCAGGGGATGTGTGGCTCTGGGATTTATGGAAATACATCATTGTCAAAGGAGACTGCTAAAGCCATTGTTGGCATTTTGTCATTTTTGACCAACCACTACTAGTGAATCGTTGCGCCCGAGCCAATGAGATGACTCTTTAAAAAGACTGGCCTTTGGGTCATGGATTACAGATGATGATTTGCGGAAAATCACCAATTTATAAAAAAATAAATTTTCACTGTCTTGGCTGTTTTGACCGTTCTGGCCATTTTTGGCTAATAATGTTGGCTGGCTAAAGCATTTTGCTTGTCTGAAGTTATCCGACTTGTTCATTCCTCTTTCACCTGTGGAGAAATTCCACGGTGCTTAAATAAATTTATCAAAATTTAATTTTTTTGGCATTTTCACTAAACTTTAATAAACAACAATCCACATAAAGCTATACCTATATGGAATTTTACAATATTTTACATCTTTCAAGCTTATAAAGTAAAAAAATCATAGCTTTGAAGTAAAAAGTAATGCTGTTTTTGAATAAATATAGCTTGATATAGAAAGCCTCCATCAATATGGGAGGTAATGATGTTTGAATTTGTTATAAAAATAATGAGATATTTTAAAAAACCGATTGGATACACGAGTCGGATTTTCTATTTTATATTTGTAATTATTATTACACTTCCTGTGACATATCGTTTGACCGTGAAAAGATTATTCATTATTATTATCATAATTATTCATTATTATTATCATAATTATTATCATTATTATTCATTATTATTCATTATTATTATCATATTAATAATTACAATTGCAATGTATACTATAATTAATATTTATTCTTATTTTAAATAAATTCTAAAGTCTTTCTCAAAAAAAAAATTATTACTTTGACACTGTGTCTTTTTTTTTAAAAAAAAAAAACTTAAAATTAAAAAAAAGCCACCTAAAGAACAGAACCTAAAGATAAAAAGAAGGAAAGAAACGCACGAAATAGTTGAAAAAGGGTAAGTGTTTATCAAAAGAATGGTGGTTATTGCCACTCATTGTCACTCTAGTTAAATTTTAAAAAATTTATTTACGACTAGACCATTTTCAGAAGGATCAAAAGCAAAAAGCGTATATGATGTTGAAGAAAGTGATGACGAGCATGAAGATTCTGAGGACGATGAATATTCTGAAGATGAAGACGAAAGCAATAAAAATAGTCAAAGCGATAAAAATAAAATCAATAAAAAAGATTTTACGAATGCATTCAACAACATACCTAATAATTGCAAAATGCGCTTAAAGTCCGGGAAGATAGTTGAGGACACTTTGTTTGAATACGCCAAGAATTTGGAACATGAAGAGTAAGTAATTCTTTAAAATTTAATTTGATTTTCTTTTATTTTGTCAATCACAATTCTGATTTATGATGCATTCGTATATAATAAATTGTAGCGATGAGAATGTGAAAAAATTATTCACTAAACAGGAATGGAATGAATTGACACAAGAAAACCCGGAAGCCTTTGAAATTCCAGATGATATATTGGAACACTTAAAATTTTATAATCAAGATACAATGGAAGGTGTTAGAAGCAAACTCATGAAACCATACCTAAAAAACGATGAAAATTATGACACTAATTCCCATTATGATTACGAATGGATACATTTATCTATTAGAAGTGTAATCAATTTATGGGAGAATAAGGACTCACCATTATCTCGTACACAATACGAAAATTGGTACTCGGTCAACCTATTTGGAAGTTGTTTGGATTTTTGTTTTAAAGATTATAAATTAGGAACAGATGTAAAAAGGTTATTATTTTTTTTAACAATGTGATTGATCAATCATTATTCTTTAAATGTAACTTTGTATATTATACTTTAGAACGGATTCGCCATCAACAGCTAGTGGTAATCAAAAGAATCGTGCGAAAGAGAAGGGTGCTAGAAAAAGGGTTGGACGCAAAATAGATGGTATAATTTACAACATCGGGAAAAATCTTGAATTAGGTGTATTTGAATCGGCCAATATTTTCAAAGACGAACACGACAATAAATATCTTAAAGAATTGTGGTTTGGCTAGATACATAAAATATGAAGAAGAAAAATGCAATTCGTTACAATTGATAGGAATATTACACCTTGGCTTAATGGTGCAGTTTTCAAAGTTATGGAGGGCAGATGGTTTAATTGCAATATATAAAAAAAGCAATACTGTGCATTATTTGTCACCAAGGTTCACAAAACTTGGTCTTAACGATTATTTGAAGCTATTGGCTAAAATTTATTCTTATAAGGTAAAAAATATGTTCTTGAATTTGCAATCTTATTTTTTTTTTATAACTTATTAATCATTTAAGCTTCTTAAACAGCAAATAACAAAGAATAATCTTCAGATTTTGGGTTTATGTGATCCAGTTGAGGAAAGTGATTTATTAGAAGAATTAAAAAATATAGATCGTGAAAAAACACCGCCACCTACAATAGAATACTTTACAGATTGCTGGATGACTCCAGTTAAACCGAAACCATCTAATCCAGTCCAGCCTAAAAAGGATCAAAAAACAAACAAAACAAGTTTTCTTGAAAGATTAAAAAGTGCAAAGAAATAATGTAATAATAGTATTCATTTAGAAATTTAGTGTTTGAATATTTAAAATTCACAGATTGTCGTAATTCTATTAATTCTAAATAATTATAATACATTGAACAAATAAACAATATTCGTAAAGAATCCCTTGTTATCAATGAAAGACTTGATCATTTGGCTTGCTGAATTGGTTCATTTAGTAGACAACTTGTATAAAATGGTCCAGGATGCTTATATCTCACATGAACTTGACGATTTGATATATCCTGTCTTTTAGCTTCTACTAATTCGATAAATTCTTTTTTTTTTAACTGTATTGAACCTAAAATATTCCCAGAAACAATCATGAATTTTTTCATAAGTTAGTCTATTTTCCGGATTATAATTTCCATCAATTCGGCACAGAATTCAGGGGTATCGTCAGTCTTTCACCATTTAAAATATCTGATACAAAAGATGATTATGTTCTCTCTATCATGAAAAGGGTTCTTTCCTAAACTATAAATATCTGTATATGGTTTTTTAATAATACTTCAGGCGCCTGGCATGGAATTATCTTTTTTATCAATTACTTGTTAACATAATCTCAAATCTCCTGTTATGGTCAACGTAATATTACCGCCGTGCAAGCCATTATTAGTAAATTATAATATTAATATTAATAAGATCCGTTATAGAGAAAGTGGACTGTATATGTTAGCTGAAATTGTTTTGCATTTGTCGGATTCTCGACAATCTTTGTATATATTAATATCAAAATAACTGATCAAAATTAATTTTAGCTACCATCGCCATGGAAAATTACTATTCGGCAATGATCGTTTATTAATATTATTAAGAAGAGTAATTTCAGGCAACATCTATGCCTTGGAATATTAGTGAGTTTTTAACCGTAAAAATGGGAACGTTACAGTAAAAATTGGATTTGTCGTTTCTTATAATATTAATATGGTCTCGGCGATAAAGGTAAAGGATCGATAATAATAATATTAATTCGACCAATTGGGTGTCAAAATTTTGTTGATTGACTGATTATCAACATTAGTGGGGTATTATTATTGGAAACATCTTAGTTTGAAGTGAAAAATAATGATGTTTCTGAATAACTATGGCTTACATAGAAGACTCATAAAAAGATTAATGGCACGGCTTTTTCGACATTACGAATGATGTTTTGTTACACAGTACAAACGAATCTGTTGTCCTCCGTAAGTTTTCCAAATAAAAATTTCATTTTTTTTATTAAAGAGTCTAATTGGGGATTTTTTTTTGGAAAAAAAATGTCGAATTCTTTATCATTATTAAAAAAAATATTAGCAACTCCTTCAAAAAATGTTACCGATAGCGAAAAGCAAAAAAGTTTTTCAGTGAGTTACGAGAATACTGAAAAACTTTTAAGTGATATTGTAAAACTTTTAAACTCCAACTCTCATGATATGGAGATTATAGTTGGAACTGATGATGCCAAAACTTTTAAAGCTCATTCGAATATCTTTAAAACAAGATCACCTCATTTCGCTACTCTTTTATCAAATCATTCATCTGAAAAATCTGAGAACGACGACACTCCGAATACTAATACTAATACTGGTTTAGCTTTCCGAGACGGAATTATTATTGTTGAAATGAAAAATATTCCCCCAAAAATATTTGAAGTTGTTTTAAAGTAAATTTATCAATCAATCAATCAATCATTATTTATTTATAATAAATAGATAAATAATTAATGTTAATTTCTAAAAAAATTTTAAAGTTACGTTTATAGTGGAGTTGTTAATAAGAACAATCTTTATCCAAATGAAATTCTTGACCTTCTTAAGGCTTGTGATGCATTACGTTTAAATGAATTGTTTGACGATTTACAAAACCTTCTCATCAACGAAGCTGAAGAATGGGTCCAACAAAATATAATTTACGTTCACAAAACTTCATCTGAGAATGATCGATTTGTTATATTTCAAGATTATTGTGCTGAAGGTTGGTTTATTTCATTATTGTGAGTGAATAAAAATTAATACTACTACCAATACTACTAATAATACTAACATAATATTATTTAAAAAAAGTAATGTCTCATTGCCCAGAATTATATTTTCATTCAAATAATTTGGAAAATATTGAAGAGTCTTTGCTTATAGCTATTTTGAAACAAGACAATATACCTCTAAAAGAAATAGAAATTTGGAATTGCATCCTTCGATGGGGGATTGTCAATGCTGGATTAGTAAAAGATATTCCTGAATGGAATGATGGTGATTTTATAAAATTAAAAAATCAAATATTTAAACTTCTTCCATTGATAAGATTTAATCAAATATCTTCGAATGATTTCTATAACGAGGTCAAACCTTTTAAACGAATATTTGATAAACTTATATACAAAGAAATCAAAGATTATTATCTTGTTGAACAAAAATCATCCACTCAAAAAGGTCCACGATTAGCTACAGGTAAACCAACAAAATTGACAGTAGAATTATTAAACATAAAAACTAAATGCCTCATTGCTAGTTGGATTAAGGGAAATGATTATAACGTCTACGATTGTAATACTATACCATATAAATTTGAGATAATTCTACGTGGATCCAAAGATGGGTTTGGTAAAGAAATCTTTGATAAAATATGTGACAATGTCAAACCAACTGTAGTTGTTATGAAAATTAAAAATACAGGAGAGTTTATTGGAGGCTACAATCCAATTGGTTGGAATTATATAAATAATCCAAAAAATAATCAGACGAAAAAAACGACAGTTTCTCATAAGTTTAAAAGTTTTATTTTTAAACTTGATAAATGTCAGTTAGATGAGTCAACATTAAGTAAAAGCAATACTAGTTTTAGAGGATTATTCAAGCGACTTAATCCATTAATAAACGATAATTCATTTGCAATCTTTAATGGTGATTTATTTATGGAGAATAATTGTTGTCATTATAGCTATAATGAAACATATGTAGAAAATTTAAATCTCAGAAAGGATGATAAACTTCAAGAATTAGAAGAATATGAAGTATATCAACTAACAAGGAAATAATTTTTACTTTTTATTATTGTTAAATTATTTTTTTATTATTTATTTTTATTACTATTCTTATTTTTTTTTATTTATTCATTCTACTGTGTACTGACTGTATATAAATACTGGGTTATAAGCTTGCAAATAGGATTTATTTATAGAAACTTTTCAGGAAATATTAATATGTATTTTCTTGCAATAATAAAATATACATATATATATCATTATTAAATCAAGAAAATTGTTTAATGAATTAAGAAAAATCAAATAATTGATGCAAGCTAATAATTTTTTCCTAATTCTTTCATTTCCTGTATTTTTTTCAATTCCTAATTTCATTCATATATGAAAATTTTTAAACAATAATATAATAATATAATTAATAACAACTTTTTCTTCATTTATCCATATTAAAATTTATATATTTCTTTTTTATATAATTTGCAAATATATTCTTATTTGTTTTCCAATGGATAAAATTAATTTCTTGCCCATTTTTACACTTCTAGAATATAAATATAAATTTAAAAATATTTTCAATTAATGTTGAAATGATTTTTTTTTACTTATATATACATAAAAATCAAGCATCTGAGAAATCAATCATACTTTCCACAGTGAGTGATAAGTATATTTTTATCCTTCTCACTAAAATATTGGAATATTATATACATATCCTGCTGTACAATTGTCTTGTGAAAGGTTTTTTTACACAGAAAAATAAAATAAAAATAAGAATTTAAAGGAAATAATTCATAAATTATAATAATAATATGATAATGATGATGGTAAATATTGCTGTAACAATATATTAAAGATATATCCTAATGTATATATATGATTATTATTATCATCTATCAGGTTTCTTGAAAATTTTTAAAAAGTTAAATACCAAATTAATTAAAAATTTAATAATTATTACAATAGCAAAAAAATTATTTTAATCTAAATTTACCTTTGTTTACAGCAATTTCTTTTTCTGCTAATTTATTTAAAGCTTCAACTTCTTCTTCATTGTTAGAGAAAAGTATTTCGATTTGTCTAGTTGCCAAAGCAGTTTGATGAATGACTTTCTTCAATTCCCAACTTGCTTTATCAAGATCTATTTGTGATTTTCTAACACTCTCCGTTAATTTAACCTCTGCTTCTCTTAATCGTTGACCTTCAACTTTACAATGTGTCCACTTAAATAAATATTAATTTATTAATTAATATAATTAATAAATCAAGTAAAAATAAAAATAAAAATATAATTATTTATCTATTAAAAAAAAAAAATAAAATAAAATTATTACAGTTTCTTCATATGTTGGAGCAAATACAGGAATTTGAATAGGTTTTGTAGGTGTTTCAAATAAAGTTTTTTGTGGAGAGTGATTAACATTTAAAGAACTACCGACAGTTGATGTATTATTGGGTTGTAGTGATGGTTGTGATGGTTGTTCTGATGGGTATGAAGAAGATCCATGGTAAATGGAGGAGGAGGAGGAATAAGAAGAGGATGTTGAACGATGATAATAAGAATAATGATTGTGGTGTTGTTGTTGTTGATAATGATGACTTTCATTCCTTGAATATGATGAATTGTTATTATGTGTTGGTGATGGTGGCGGTAATGCATTATTACTGCTGTTGTTATTGTTGTTATTACTCGTTCGAGAATATGGACTGTATAAGGAAGAATCATTTCTATGTGATAAAGATGATGGCAGTCTTCTTTCATATGATGATTTAGAAGATTGAGTTTGATGTGACGGTAGTTTACCGTATAGTTTTTTACTTCTTGGTGGAGGTGGTGGTGGTGATGGTGGTCCACCTCCATACGATCTAAACGAAGACGTCATTTAATAAGGATTTTATTAATGATCGGCTGAGTGCATTTAGTGCATTATTATAGTAAAAATCATCCATTAAAATTAAAAAATACTGCATGACATTGTATTACATAGTATTCACCATATGCGGAGGATTTCAAAGTTTAACCTCACCATTATACCACCAATATAATTAACGGGTTCTTTATCTCTGTATACACTCGTTACATAATGAGCATCTCCTAATAGGAAATTTTGTTAATAATCCAAGTATTTTTCTACTGCAAAGCAATATGTAATTATAAATGCAAAATCACAAGGCAACTATAAAAATATTTATTATAAAGAATATAAATGATAAAAAACTATTTCCAAAGAGAAAAAGTAAAAGAAGTCATTGATGAATTGAATGAGCATTGATTTAAAAAATATAAGGATAAACCTTCTAAGATGTTAACTAGATTTCAATGATACATACAGATAAAATCATTTGCCTATGGAAATTAATTTTTTAATTGAAAAATTTGTCATTCAAGAAATAGAAAAAAATAAAGGTAAGTAGAATTCAACAACTTATTTTAGAAAGTGATTATCCCAGGTTTAAAAGAACTAAAAAATCCAAACCAAAATATGATGACATGAATTACCAAGATTTCAATGAATACAATAATAGTTTGAGAAAAACTCAAACTTAATCAGAAAAAGGATGATTAGAATACCAGCCAGTTTGAATAAGTAATATTTGGTAAGAAAACAATTTTATAATTTACCTGTTGAACTGAACACAATGATTGAAGAAATAATAGCTGCTGCTTATACTACTTCTGCTCAGCAAACAATTTATAAAAGATTAAATGATAATGACAAAAAAAGAATAGTACATTCTCAAAATTCAAGGATACATTAAAGATTTGAACAAGTTATTTAACCAACATTCAAGAGGCTTTAAATACTGAAATGACTGGCATACAAGAATTAAAAGAAAAAGAGATTAAGAACTATTAACCAAAGAAATTAAGAAATATTAAGAAAATGAGAATTATATTTAGCCACTAAACCTCTAATAAGTTTACTTAAGAAAGAAAATAAATTTATAAAGTTAGGAAACAAAATTAAAACCCAATTTCAACAAGTAGAAGAATACCAACCCAAATTAATAACTCTTTTTCCAAATGACTAAATGACCTCAAATGGCTCAAATGACATATTGTTTAATTTTAAATTCAAAATTTTATTAATTTTATCAATGAATTTACAAAATTAGGTGATTCTAAATTATCATCAAAAATACTACACAGGCTCCATTTGGTGATTGGATCTTCAGCAGGATGTATATATAGTACAATCTACAGCTATAACTTCTAAAGGATCTGAAATATCTCTATTATCATCAATCATATTCATCCAATTCTACCCAATGTTCAGTTCTGTTAATAGAATCACCAGTTTCTTCTCCAATAGCATATGTGTCATCCTCTCTTTCTTCAAAAGATGCTAATGTTTCATAGTCATTAGCAACAGTATATTCCCCAAAAGAATCTGAAACAAAACAGTAATTTTGATTTTTTTTTCCTCAGTCTCATGCATTATTTCTCTGTTTTTGACTTTTGATCACTAATATCCCTTACTACCCAAAAATTTGTTACTTGTTTTTCTATGTACTTTGGTGGCTTGTTGTTGGTTGATTTTGTTGTTGATGATGAGGAAGAGGGAAAAAGGTCTTCCTCCTTTTCTATTTAAATATTAAGTAGATAAATAAAAATAAAAACAAAATGATGACAAGTTGCAATTCTTTTTATAACTTACTAGGATGATGACAAGTTGCAATAATCGCAAACACCACTACAATTCTTTCTTTTTTGTCATGTCATTTTTTTTTTCTTTTTTAAAAAAAAAAGAAAACTTTTTACATGTTATGGGGTAAATTTTCTAATAAATCCATGGGTAGTTGTTGAAAATTTATTGGGACCTCCTCAATCAGAAGTTTCCGGGTTCTTTTATAATAATAATAATCTAATTTCGCATCATAATAAATTTTAAAAAAATGGGTAATGAAATAAGAAAAAGTGATACGGTTTTAAAAGCACAGGAGTTAATGTCGCAAAAAGAAGAAATTGAAAATCAGCTTGACGACTTGGAGAAAGTTTTGAAATCAGTTTAGTTTCAACACTTGTCACCAATTTAATTCTATTTATTCTATTTATTATCTAATATGTATAACATCATCAATAAAAAGCAAGGAATAGGAATGACTGAACAATTAGTTGATCACGAAGGGTTTCCTCGTTCCGACATAGACATAGTAACCGTAAGAACTGCTCGTGCTAAAATAATTGGTAAAGATTGGTTTGTGTATATAATAACAAGTGTTTTGAAATAAAGGGGATCTTATAATAATAAATACACTAGTTAGTTAATTTATGGTTGGGTTTTTTAAAAAACTCAAGCATTGAGGAATGACCATAAAGCAGTTATGTCAGAAATTGAAAAGGCTTTACATGCTATACATGCAGAAAACAAAGCAAACAAATTAGTTGAAGGAAACAATGACGAATCAAGTAAGTAATTTTGATTCGTAAATTTATTATTTTTATAGTTATAATGATGCGATCTTTTAATTAATTAATTAAATTGATCTTTTCTCTTTATCATAAAATCAAAAAGTTGGGAAACCTAAACCTTTTGCAATAGTGAATGCAGTTGCGCCTGATTCACCAGCTAAAGAAGCGGTAATAAATAGGAATTGAATTGCTGATTGATTATATTATTAAATTTTTTGGGAGGCGAGATGATGAAAATTAATTTTTATTATCATTAATCCACAAAATATTTAGGGATTAATAAAAGGTGATAGAATTATAAGATTTGGATATATACATTCTAATAATAATCAAAACCTTAATGCTTTAAATTCTTTTGTGACTGAGAATGTTGGTGTACGTATATAATCATAATTATGAAGATTATAATTATTTATTTTTAGTATTAAATCAATAATAATAAATCCAAAAATCAGAAAAATATTGGAATTACAGTTGAACGTGGGGAAACACATTCATCACAATTGATTGTATTGCATCTAACACCTAGGCATGGATGGGGTGGAAAAGGGCTTCTAGGGTACCTTTTTATCATCTGTTTAATTAATTTATGCGAAATAGAAAACTAATGATTAAATTTAATTATCATTTGTAGGTGTCATATTTTACCTATTTAGATAAATATTGTAATTATTAAATATTAAATGATGAGTCATTTACTGTTTTTATAAGTGCAAATAACATTTAAACACAAAGAAAAAGATATACTATATATCATATATAACAGAAAATATTTTAAATATTTTTAAAATTGCCAAATTTAATCATTTAATATCTTTTTATGAAATGCTGAAAATTACAAATAATGTAAATTTTTTTTTTTTCACATGAAAAATTATATTTAAATAATTACTTTTGTAAAGATTTTTATTGCTAGAACTAACAAATGCAAGGACCATCATCATTATTATGGTTTTGTTGATTTTGATCTAATAAACTTATATCGATCTTGTTATCTAACGTCTCGGATCTTTTCTGCCATAAATTTGGATCTTCAATTATCTAAATAACAGTGATAACAAAAAGAAGTTTAGTAAATAATTCTCTAATTAGCTTTTAATCGTATCTGAAATTATCAAATAACAATAACAATAATAGTGTATTAAACATAACTATATAATATACCTTTCTAACAAGTTCTTCAAATGCTTCTCTTACTCCATATTTTGTCTTGGCACTACATTCTATAAATAAAGTTTGTGATTTCTTAGCATACGCTTCACCTTCTTTACGTGAAATAGCCCTTCCACTTTCCTAATTCAATAATTTTAAAAATCAATCATGAATAACGGTAATGATAGTGATAATTACACGTTACAAATAAATACCTTATCTATCTTATTACCAACTATCATTTTCACTATGTTCTTGCTTGTACAATAGGTGTTTAATTCATTAAACCAATCATCTAATTGATCAAATGTTTCACGATTGGATACATCATACACTTAAAAAATTAAAATTAACATTAAAAAGAATAATTTCATATATTAAAATAAATTATCTAGAATTGTATTTATACTTATATATACACATATACAAATATACGTACATATACATACCAAGGATGACACCTTGAGCACCACGATAATATGAGGATGTTAGTGTTCTAAAACGTTCTTGACCAGCTGTATCCTAAATATTTCAAAAATCATTGAAAATCATCATATTTTTTATTTATTTAATAAAATAATATGCAAAATAAATAAATAAATACCCATATTGTTAATTTATATTTTTTCCCATCTACACCTATTTCATGAACTTTGAAATCTACACCTGTTATTATATTATATATATGTGTGTGTGATTTAATGTCTTTTGTGTGCGTGCGTTGCAATTTAACAAATAATTTACCTATCGTTGCTGATACTTCGTCATGTGTTAAAAATGTATCGTCAGTGAATCTTAGTAAAAGAGACGATTTTCCAACATTTGAATTACCGATAAGAAGAATTTTAAATGTTGCAAGATACTCGTTGTTGAGTTTTGTCATATTTAATTATATTAATATTATTGTTGTTATTAATTTATTTTTATATTATAAATATTATAATTACATCATCATTTCAAAAAGTTTTTGATAAAAATGATAACCCCAGTTTGTACAACCATGACTCGATTCAAATTTACACGTTATTATTATGAATTAAAAAAATTTCAACAGGTTTGTTGAGGATACAAGTAAATGTTTTTCATTTAATAAAAAATAAAGCAAAAAAATATATATGAATAATCACACACTTTTTAAACTTTTAGCTAATTAACAACATTCGAGGATGTTTTTTTTTCGTGTTTAGCGATCGTACCTGGTAGGTAATTGCAATTAATTTGATGTTTAAATGGTAATAATTCAATAATTCTTTATAATAATAAGTTTTTTCCGTATCATTAAAAAAAAGGTCAACAATAAGCTGGCTATAAAAAAGATATTCTTCCCGTAGAAGATTTATATAAATGGTGTACGTCTAATAGCAAAACAGTTAATTAATAGACATGTGATGACACTCTAAAAATGAACTAAATTATTTAAATCTGGAGGCTTTTTATTCATTAATAAGAAATTATTGGTGATTCGCCTTTTGGCAGATATAATAAGTTGCATTTGAAAATGTAAATAAAGCTTTGGAATTTATTAAACATCGTAGTATTTCTTTCGCTGACAAATATTGGTGCTGAAGGTAGACCTATTTTATAAATAATAACAAATGATTTATTTGTTTTTAAAAAATTTTTTTTTAAAATCATTATTAGACTTATCCTTGGCACGATATGGATAATTATTTCAAGATTTACTATTGCTGATATTAGGTTTGTGAATAATCAATTAATTGTCAAGGTCTTTAAAAAAATCTTCATTTGTTTAAAACTTGTTTGTAAAGAGGGTCTCGCTGCCAAAGAAGGGTTATTACTTTGATGTCAAAAAAAGGCTGCACCTTATGCCGAAGTTGATGTATATAAAGGATTTTAACTATAGGTAGAATTTAATATATCTGTAAATTTACATTGTTAATCATTATACAATCTTTAATATTGAAATTCCTTATCAAACAAACGCTTCTAGTAGGACCCTTGAAGACATATGAAAGAAATCGGGGGCTATTATTTATGTGGTTAAACTGGGAAATTATTTCCAAATTTGGAATGATTTACAAAAATCAACAGATAAATTGTTTGATGACAACGTTATTATTTAAGTTAAAAAAAACCAAAAGGTAAGGATCATTTCCTTTCAAATGGATAAGATCGTTATTTTATTTTTTTTAATTAGCTTTGATTACTTAATATAATAATAAAGTTTAAATGGAAACGTTCTAACACGGGTGGATATTATACAAAGGAAATTTATTGACAACAGTTCTTCTTCACCTTTGGGAAAGCATTATCAAAAAAATGATGATCATAAGAATTTTTTAAAAAAAAGGAAAATTTAATAAGGATAAAGTACGAGAAAATAATATTATACAACAATCATTATTATATTCTTTTTTTATGATTTTTTTTGTGGCTGGTCATATTTATTATTCTCATTGACTACTGAATTATTACATCTTTTCTATTGTGATTAGGAGAACCAATGGGGTGAAGAATCTGAATATTACGAGTATTCAGATGATGATGACCGACCCCGTAATATACCCTTTGTTATCTGAGGTAGTATAGCTATTATTTATATTCATCACTCCCATATTGATAAATTGAAACGTGCTGAATCGCCATTTCTTTTCTATTGTGATTAAGAAAGCCAAGAGGGCAAAGAATCCGAATATGAGCGTTCGGTTTTATTTTATTTAATCAAAAAAAAAACTGCCAGCGATCATATCAAGAAAAAGAATATTATTTAAAAAATAAATAGATTGTAAAGTATAAAATCATTCATTAAAAATTATTATAATTAATGAGTTAGAATTATAATACACCATATTTAAATTTTTTAGTGAAATTTTTGAGAGATTCATCAGAAGGACTTTCTAGCATGATATAGTAATTACGAAACAAATGACCATCAAGTGACCAGGATGTCAACTTCTTTCCCGTTATTAATATATATTAATATAAAGATTTTGAAATATTATGTAATTCACACATTGGATTTTTAAAAACCCACCACTATTCAATTCAGCTTTAAAAAAGGAGTCAATTCATATAAAAAAATTCATCATTCTATACGTATAGAGAATCAATCTATACTTGTTTGTAAATTTTTTTTTAAAAAAAAACCATATTGTGTCAAAAGTCAGCACGCAGGGTTGGACATATGACCGACTTATCAATTTAAAAATAACAATAAAATATAATTAATGTTTAAAACAACATAGAGTTATTTGTTATCCATTATAAAAAAAAAAAAAAACTTTTTGCTTAAAGAAGCATTTGTTTTCTTCTAATTGTTTGTATTTTTATTTTAGATTTGATCTAATAATCTTCATGGATTTTAATTGTTATCTTTATTCGAAACAAAGTTTAGAAATTGATCGATCGTATTAACATTTAATTTTAGATTAGGTCTAATAATTTTCACGGGTTTAATAATCACTACCCTTATTCTGCGAATTAATGAGGCAAAAGATTCGGATTTTTAAAATTTTTCATCCCGCGTAACAAAAACTAACCACCAATCAAAATTCGAAAACTTAATCATGTGTGTAATGTATCACGTGAAACCGGCTTATAGTATTATACTCGGGGCTAGGGTTGACCGACTTGGCACTTATCGCGACTTTATATAGATTGACTGACTTGTCGAATTTTTTTAAATATTAATATTAAAGAAAAGTTCGGCCGAGTTGGGCCAAAACCGACTTATCGAATTTACAAATGTATCTTTTTTATCCAGACCATCCAATTTATTAATTGTATCTTTAACATTTTTTACTAATTCATGTGGTGATTTTTGTTTTGGGTTAAAATTGACGAAAAAATTTTTTTGATGATGACAAAAACTGCCTCAGAAAATCTAATTGATGTTAATTTATTTTGATTTTGGCAGTGATACAAATATTACAATATATTAATATTGATAAGATTTAATTAGAAAGAATTATTTTGAATTATTTTGAATAATGTTTGATCTCTGACGACGTGTCCGAGTGGTTAAGGAGTGTGACTAGAAATCACATGGGCTCTGCCCGCACAGGTTCAAGTCCTGTCGTCGTCGAAATATTTTTTTTATTATCCATCAGGTAAATATTGGAGATCCTAAAATATATGTGTGTGTGTACTGTATATATATAATATATGTATATATGTATATAAATACATTCACCACAATTGGCACTTCTTTCATCTATAAGTTCATGATGATTTGGATCTGGATCGGTTATAAATTTTTGCATTATTTATATTATTTATTTATTTGATAATTGTGAAGATTTCAATATGGAATACAACATCCCAAGAAAGACTTGGATTTTATTATAAATAATTTAATGGTATTTTTTGTATCATTTGTTTGTCTATATGCGAATTTAATATCCAATCATTTATAAGATCCAAATGTATTATAGAGTAAAATTGAGATTTTTTCTTGTAGGATTTTAAAAAAAAAAAAAAAAACCAAATTAAATTTTTTGTGCTTTGTGCTAATTCTTTAGCAAAATGCAAATGCAACAATTTTAATGTGTGATATTGCATCCAAAGAAGGCTTTCTAGATATGAATTGAAGGTAAAAGAGATTATATTATCATTGCAGATTATTATCATTTAATTTATTATTGGTAATTAAAAGGTTTGAATATGACTTGTAATAAATAATCTATAATAATAACAGCAATATTAGTAATGAATATCCTAAATAATTAAATTTTATTATTCTAGCTCCAGATTACCATTAAAAGAACACGGGATTATACTTATGTACTTTAGGATAATTTATCAATTAATTTAGTTAGTTGGGTTTTTTTAATTTAATTTACTAATGTTTTAATTGGTGAATTGTTTCTTGTACTTTGGTTGAACATAAAACGAAATTGATTTAGAAAACACATTCAACCAAACCCTGTCTACGATATAAGATTCAGAAAGAGGGAGTTGTAAGATGTGTTGATAAAGATTATTATAAGATGGCATACATTTAATTTCATAATTTAATAACTAGTTGAATGAATCTGATTGATTTATATATTATATCAAGAACAATAATTTTTTTTATTGTATATTTTGGAACATTTCAGTAATTAAGTTCATTTAATATTCCTACAATATTAGTAGAAAATTAATGTGATGGAATTTATATAGGTGATAGTAATAATAATAATAATAATTTTTTGTATTACTATCATTGAAATATTTTCTATTAACCCATTCATTATTTTTATTATTATTGATAAAAATAGACTTACAAATTTTAAATATTTATGATAGTATATTGTTAATAGCAACAACAAGAATGATAATTAATCCTAACAAACAAATATAAAAATTCAGCAAATTAATAATGATTATTTTTTTAAAAAATATATTTTGAAAATCATAATGAATAGTTATTATACATACCATACGAGTCTTAAGTGTACGAGTTATAACTTTTTCAGGTGTTCTATATAATAATCAATTAATTAATTAATAATATAAATAAATAAATCTCTTTAATTTTGCAAAAATCCAATTACGAAATCATGAAAACATACATAACATGAACAAATGCACCCCAACCACTTTTACAATCTCTATCAATAGCATTCATTAATGCTTGTGAAATTGTTTCAAATAAATCTTCAGGCTCCTACAATAATAATAATATATTAATAATAGTGTTATTATTATTGTTATTATTATTATTATTAAAAAAAAACTCTCACCAGATCAGGTTCCCACAATGCTTCACAAATTCCATACAAGTTTTCAGAAGATGTACCACCAACAACAAAATCTGTAGCATTACCAATACAACCTATTAAATCCATTTCACAAATATATGGTTTATTGTGTTTATCAAGTCCCGCAATAATTGGTTCTACAAAGTATGGTCCAAATCTATATTTGTGTTTATAAAGAGAGAAATAAATATTTCCATCATCAGTATGATATATTTTTATAAATCTTTATATAAATATTTTTTACAAAAGCATGGATGGATACCTTTTTTCATACAATGTTGATGATACCAAGTGTGCAAGTGTTTTTGGTTCAATATCACGTTCTTCACGTAATTTATACATATTAATCTTGAAACGGAATCTTTCAGATCTATATATACAAAAAAAAAGTTAATTAATTTTGTAAAAGTCATCAATAATACTAATTGTATCAAATAATTTATTAATCTAATCTTAACAACAATAACAACAATAATATTAAATATTACAAGGTTTGAACATCAGTGGCCAACCCAGGAAGTCCAACATAACATTTATCTGTTGCTTGAATGATTTTTGGAAATTCAGTTGATATTGTCATTAATTGAACACCAAGAAATTTATCAGACGCAATGGCAACACAGTTCTTTCCGACCATTGCAACAACACTTCCACCATTATACCCTGCGATAGACTGGAAACCAATGGGGAATTTTTAAATAATTTGTTTGATTTAAAGAATTGGAATTATTAGAATTATTGAAATTACTTTACTTACCATGTTTGAAAATTTAATCTGGGATAAAATAATTCAATTTGATAAATTTAATCTGGGATAAAATAATTCAATTTGATAAATTTACCCTTACGTATTCAAAAAAATTTTTTGGGGAGATCAACTTTCACACGTCACATGATTTTAAATTAATCGAAAAAATTTAAAGATATTTTTCTTGAGAATTATTATCATTTTGAACAAAAAACTTATTATCAATATACATTAATGAATCATTAAACATTGAACCACCATGGTTCAAATAATAATTCGTTTAATATTTTGTCAAAATAACTTTTTTTTTCTTTCTTTTTGTAGAAACTTGGAGACAATAAATCTTAAATATTACTTCACAATGATGAGTCAATAATTTAAACAAAGATGGAATATTTTTTTACGAAAAAGAATTTTTAATTAATGAATTGAAATTTTGAAAAATGTGTATAGCCCAATAACTAAAATGAAGCTGCCACCATAACACCTGCAGCAGCGGCAGCAACAAAATCAACAACTATAGAAGGAGGAGAACGTCTTCTACAATATCAGAATCATCACCTTCTGACAACCATTGTTACAACTCATCAAAACTTCAACATGAAAACTATTTGCCATTAATTAATTTTTACAAAAAAAAACTATTTTTATACAATCCCTCATCAATGATAATTAATTAAATAAATAACATTAATGAATTTTAATTCTTACATTATCATTATCATAATATAATCATTACATCTTTCTTCTTCTTTAATGACTAAGATATAATCTACCTTTTAATCTTCTCCTTGCCAGTATTCTTCTTCCATTTTTTCTACGCAAACGTTGTAAATAACCATGTCTACGTTTCCTGACGAGATTACTTGGTTGGTATTCTCGCCCATAAGTCGGAAAACGTACTTGTATATTGAAGATATTTGAAGTTTGTGGTAGAGTAGATCGACTTGGAAAGCTTTGATTGTTTTTTTTTATAGCTTAATAATTTAGCTTTAAAGATAATTCGAGGAAGTGAAAGTGAACGAGTAAAATTACCTTGGATTAAAATTGTTAAAATTGTTGATTTCAGAAAATATATTTGTCGTCGATTTAGTTGATTGTTTTGTTAATGCTGTGAAAAGTTTTCTCGTAAAAGAAAGTAACATTGTTTGTTGATAAATTGAACTGATTGAATATTTTTTCAAGAAATCTATGGAATACTAGTAATTTGATTGGACAATGGATTGTATTACTATTATGTAGAAAATAAAATAAATGCATGTCCTTGCAAAAAAATGAAGTCATTTTGGCAATCTTATAAAGCATTACCACCTAGAACAAGAATATTACTTGGTTTAGGTATATTTTTTTTATTAGTAATATATATATATAAATATTATATTACTAATACTAATAATATATTATAGGTGGTATGGTCATCGCAGTAGTTGGACACCTTGGTACTGACTTACTCGAGAAGAAGTATCCATCATTATTACCCACTGACATTAATAATAATAGCACTAATAATAATACCAACAATGATGATAATACAAGTTGATTGATTGTAATTATAATTATAATTATGATTATTATTATCATTGTTGGTGTTATAAATCAAAAATTATAATAATAATAATAATAATAATAATAATTGTTATTATTACTATTACCAAAGGTCAAACTTTCTTTCTCTAATTAATTTAATGATTTTTTTGAAGACAATGTGCGTGAAGCAGAAGTGGATGATGAAGAAAGTGTAGAAGATAAAGTTGGAGTGGTAGCCATATTAGTATTAAAAGAATCTTTGTAAATGAAAATTCAATAAATTTTTTAATCCATGAATATATATATTATTTATATAAAAAAATTTTTTGGTTAAAAATCAATGAAATGAAATAGGTGAAAGGTATCAACCATACTCATACTCCAAAGAATGATGCAATCAATATCTGTGAACATATAATAATGTGATGTGGAATACTTGAACTAAAAAAATGATGCACTACCACTAATACTTGTTTTTTTTTCCAATTATATAAAAATCAAATTAACACAATAAAAAAAATGATTTTGAATCAGTCAAGTATCTCTTGCTGCAACTTGCCATGAATGGCAAACTTGTCAGGTTGATGAATGGAAAAGTCTCGAGATTCATAGTGTAAACACCATGACATCCTATTAAAAACATTGTATGTAAAAATGGAAATCCATCGAATATACGCACATAATAAAGTATCAATAACCTAAAAAAAACTATTTCAAAATAATGAAAATATAAATATAAATATATATATTCCTTATATATATAATCAAAATCCCACTATTTTTGAATTTTTATAATCTTTTCGTCATTATAATAATGATGTAACGAAACCTTTGACTTTAGTCATTGACGTAACTAGAGTATTGACTACAGGTAGTTTCTATTCTGACGATTTGGCTAAAATAAAAACCCTTGACGTAATTAAAAATACTTGACGTAAGTAAAAACATTTGATACAAGCAGCAATAATAGTTTCAAATTATGTAAAAATGTATGGGATTATAATTATTATATATATTATTACTACTTGATAAAAAATTTTCTGCATATTTTCTTTCAAAATAAAAATGCCACCTCATTAAAATAAAATGGAAAAAATCAATTGTCTTTATATACATACGAGTTGTGTTAAATGTTTTTTCGAATTTGACTTTGAAATTAACTACGCGTAATAGTAATACGCAGTAATATTGATTTTTTTTTAACATTTAGGTCATTATATTTTAATATTTAGGCGAATATATTCTTTTCATGTTAACTTGCATATTCAATAGTTCGTTTGTCAAGTTAATGACTATTAGGTGTTATTTATTTATTTATTATTTTAATTTTTTATATAAATAAACATTAAAATGAAAATCCAACAAATTGAAACATTATTTTAACATTTAGGTGAAATATTCTTTTCCATGTTAACTTGGATATTCAATGATTGCTTTGTGATTGTTTAGTCTACAGTCAAATGATGAATTATTGTCATACGACCATCAAAGAAAAAAAAATCAAAATCAACATCAACTAATAGGCAATGACACTATTATCAATTAATAGTTCTATTGTTCGTTGTAAAAATGAATTCTAAACTGTAATTCATAAATTAAATAACTACTTGCTATATGAAAAAAAATTTTTTTTTTTGAAGTGGGCGATAACAATTTTATTCTATTCTTGAACGTGTATGATTTTTAGACCAATCAAAATCAACTTTACATGATATCTTGCTGACCAATAAAATATGATCGACGAGAATGTCTACTATGCTGTACCATTTGTTTTAATAAAACACACATGTACCTTAGCAAATCCACCAGCGCCAAATGCATTCCAAAAACTTCCAGTGCTACCGGCAGTATGATATTCATGACAATGTGTATAAGCTTGAGTCCAAAATATCTTGTGTTGTAATTAGTTTTCTATTATATTATGAACATTTTGTTTAAAATGTTTTGTTACACCAGGTATATGAAGTTACATCACGTGGTCTCACGCTTGTCGGTTGATCTTGCTTTATTAAAAAAAATTTTTTTTAATGAAAAATTTACTTTTTATATTAATATATTAACATATATATTAGGTTAATGTGATTACATTGTTACTAAAAAGTAAAATTAAATACCGACACGATTTAATTTTTTAATATTAATTAAAAAAAAAAGTATTTACATCATTATATAAATAATGATTATTACATCGAACCAACCAACATATTCAATTGTATATTTCTTCTTTTCTACTCAAAATGTCTTCTACTAATCTAGCAAATGGAAATGAGAAAAATACATTAATTATTCCACGTCTTGAAGATTATGACATTAGTCCAATAACTGGTTTTCTCCCATCTATTCCTCCCTTACATCGTTTACCGGATACTTATTATGAACGTTGGGAAAACTTGATTGATAGTTTTCATAACTTATTGTCAACTGGTTGTCTAAGAGAACATGTTAAATTGGTTTGTGACAACTTTTTGATTTATTTATGTATGTATATTATCATTTATAACAAAATTAATAATATATATAACATAAATTATTTTTAATTAGCTACCGATTTTAAAAACAGATAAACTTAAAACTTCTGCTGAATATCAACGTGCTTTTTTGGTTTTATCAACACTAGCACATGGATATGTTAGAGGCAACTATGAATCTCCAATTGATGTAAGGATTGATTGATTAGCATATCTTCTCTTTTTCTTTTTTTATATATTCATGTATATATTTAATATTTTAGAGCATACCAGCTTGTATTGCTATACCATGGGTTGAAGTATCCGACTATCTTGGTGTTTCACCAGTAGTAAATCATGCGGCTGTAGTTTTATGGAATTGGCGTTTGATCTCTCATGATGAAGGACTTAGTTTAAAGTTAAATATAAATTACACACTTATATATAAATATATATAAACGTTGCTATTTTTCTAATTTGATTTATTTCAAAATAATTGAAATATTAGTAATCTTACTACACTAATTACCTTTACAAATACTATGGATGAATCTTGGTTTTATCTTGTTACAACAGCCATTGAAAGTTTTGGTGGAAAAGCATCGGCAGCTATTATTTCTGCAATACAAGCTGCTCATGATAAAAATCACAAGCAATTGATCATAGCTTTGAAAATTATTAGTTCAACCATTGATGAATTCACAAAAATTCTTCACAGGATATATGAAAAATGTGATCCTTACATCTTTTATTGGAAGATACGACCTTATGTATCTGGTTGGGAGAATGATGAATCTTTACCAAATGGATTGAAATATGAAGGTGTGGATGGATGTGATGAAAATGGGAATCCTATTTATCGTCAATATGTTGGTGGAAGTGCTGGTCAAAGCTCATTGATCCAATCGTTGGATATCGTACTTAACATTGAACATTATCCAACCGGTATTAAGCCAATTACAACCAATAACTACAATACTCACCATTCTCATAATTCATCTAATGGGAACCTCAATAACAATAATAATGCGAGTAAAAACAAGCGGGATCTACATCAACAACAACCTTATGTTTACAAGATTCGTCAAAATATTCCTGGAAATCATCGAAGGTTTCTTGAAGATTTGACAAAGGTTGCAATCGTACGTGATTATATTATGTTATGCATTGGATGCAATGATTCAGAAATAAATAATAAACTGGAAAGTAATAGAATTTTTGAAAACAATGAGTTGGTTGAAGCTTATAATGACTGTTTAGATAAAATGAAAACCTTCAGATCAAAACATTTACAAATCGTTAGTGTTTACATTTTAGCTCAAGCATGTAAAGATAGACCATTTCATAAAGGTATGTATGTATGTGTATATGTATATTTATTTGGATATTTTTATTTGTTGAAAACTGATTGTTAATATTTTGTTGATAGATATCATCGATGACTCTGTTACTAATGGTGCTTCAACCATTAAAGGCAATACTATCAATAGCTCTGCCACTAACATTTCTGCCGCTAATTCTGCTAATGATACTATTGCTAAAATTGCTACTAATGATACCACAACCACTAACACCACTAATTGGTGCGTTAGTAATGATCCAGTTGCAAATGCCACTACTACCGCTAATATTAAAACTAATGATGTTAACAAAAAAATTGTAAATAATAAAGTAACAACCACATTAGCCGAAACTTCTAATGATTTAAATATAGTCAGAGGTACTGGTGGGACTGATCTAATCCCTTTTTTGAAACAGATGAGAAATGAAACTAATTCTAGAGAAATTAGAATTTTAAAGGATCATCTGATTTAAAAAACAAAAAAAAAAAATTTGTTTTTTTAGAATTTAATTCATTTTGTATTAGATCAAATTCGGTTGTGCTTTATTTGATTAAAGGAATATACTTAATACTTGTACATGCTGCAACAATTGAACAAATAATTGGCTAAAGAATGTGATATGACGGTTTTATAGTATCTCTTCCAAGTAATTGTCTTGGTTTTTATTATTTCGATATCCTCCATACAAGATAAATGGTCAAAAGTGTAGACGAGACGATTAGATAAGTGCTAGATTCTTCTGGACATTAAGAATCTACGTTGATCATTACATTTGGAAGATACTAACTTTACTTGCTGCTGCTTTTTATGTATTCCAAGAACTTTTTATAAATCATTAAAATCCTACTTAATCACTTAATCAGGATGGATATTCTTAAACTTGATGACATAACCATTAGTAAAATGCAAGTATTTTTTTAAAATTTAAATTGAAAAATTCTAAAAAACAAATAAACATTAAAATTCATTGTCTATTTAGTCTATGCTGTTGCAAGGAACTTGATTTTAACTTCTCTATAGCGAATCTTTTATCCTTATGTGTTTTTGAACTTTAGAGAAGAAAATAATAATAAAAAATGGAATGTGAATTCTTTATAGAGTGTGATTTTACTTATTATTCGTTATAGAGAGTGTGAACTGTATAAATGAAAATGAATAAGATAATACTGATAATAATACTACAAACTCTGAGGAAAGTATCATACTATTGGAAAGAAATTTGATAGCGATGCATATGAAAAAATGAAAGGTTTATGCAATAAAAAGCAAGGACTGTAAAAAGATAGCGTTTCAACGAGAAGAACATTTAAATGTGAGTGCAGAGGAAGTTATAGTGAATGATGTTAGAAATGCTACTTCTAAACATAACTATTGTACTTGGGCAATGAATGTTTCTTTCAAGCCACCTTTATAAAGGGTCATGTTACTAACCATACGCAAATGAGTTACTAGTATATTAATATGGTGGAGCAAATCAATCCGGTGATTTATCCATTGGTGAACGCTTATTATTATATTAACGAACGTATTAAGAAAATAAGATATCATTAGATTTATCGCGTTGATGCTCTTGCGAATGGTTTTATTATGGAACTTGCTGCTGCATATGTCTTCAACGGTATATTTATAACTTTACAAAATTCTGAAATTTAATAAATGTAAATTCTTTGACTTTAGGGAATTTTAAAGACGAAAAAGATTTATTAGTATGGTTTAATTTTAATATAATTATCAACTAAACAATAATATTATATAATTATCAAATCTTGTTTATCTTCGTTATCAATGATAATTAACATCTTTCTTCTCAAAAAGGAATTTCAAGTAACTTGAAACTTTATGCTTGAGTTCTCGTCTACCACACTATTTGTGTTAGGTGGTGACGACAATATATCGTTATTAATATTAATAGATGTCTTTTGTCATTTAATATAATTTACCCTTTTCAAGAAAATTGATCTTAATAATAAATTTTTTCTTCTTTAGATATCAACTTTAAATTCCTGAGCATCACCATAATTAAAAGAATTGTATGTTAAATGCTCCAAGTATATATACGTAGTAATTAGGTGAGGGATATGCGGTGTCAAAGATGTTGTCAACGAAGTCAATTCAATTGATATTTCACGACCATACATAAGGTAGGTCGCATCATTGGTCTTATTGAAGGATTTATTAAAATATCATAACAAAGATATATTTCCCTTCCAAGTGGTTGAATTAGCAGATTTTAGTACGGTGCAAAAAGGGCATGCAGTTCATGATAGACTGTGAAATCCTATAAAAAAAGATAAAGATAAATATTAATTGCGTCTGGTGTTTCAACAAAGTCTATATCTCCGTAGAGTTATTATCAATGCAAGATTACAAGTGCAAAATACATAGAACAGAGGCTTTTCAGCATATACACGCAGAAAATCCCTAAATATGAATGGCGCTAAATATTATTTATAATTCAATCCTTGACTTAAACTCGTATTCTCTTTCAATAATCTCCACCACATCAAAATTGCTCACTCCACTCAAAAAGAAACACCTGATACTCATTTATTTTGGCCTGCAAAAATGATTTCCCCATAGAAAGATTTGCTCTATATATATGAGACCTATTATCATTATCAAGAAATTTGGTAGAGATTAAAACTTTATATAAACTATGGTTCATGTCTTCAAAACTTGTTGTTCTTTACTGCCTTTTCTTAAAGGAATGTATCTATACACCTTCACTAACCGGTAAATTTTTTACTGGAACATTAAGCAAGCAAAAAAAAATTTTTTTTTGAATATGACAATACACATGATATCATCTGTTAAACAACATCTCGCTACTAACCATATAACTATATAATTACATGTTTTTTTTTGGGTAAATGTAAACTCAATTAATTAAACAATAATTGTTACTTGAATGAGTTGGCTAAATTTTTTTAGGAAAAAAAATAAATAAAAAATTACCAAAATTAGAATCTGAATTTTTTTAATTTTGGTTTTATATAGAAAAAAAAAATTTTCATTGCCATATAATAAAATGTAAAATAACATTTGATGAGAGAAATTTTTACTCTTAACAGTTAATAACAATATAATGATTATTATTATTCAAATAATTGTGGTACAGTAACAGATGATTTGGTATTTTTGTAAACATTTTATCATCTTTACTAAAATTAGTAATATAGAAGTATTTTTAATAAAAATGTAATAATTTTTTTGATCAAAATATTCAAATAGAAAAAAAAATTTACAATAATTTTTTTCCTATAAAAAAAAAAAAAAAAAAAAAATTCTAAAAAGCGATGTTAACAATGAATCAAGCACCAACCACACCTACCACCAGTATTAGTACTCCACCAATGCAAAATCATGGATTTGGTTTTGCTACACCTATAAATTTGACAAATATAAATAACATAAATAATCCTAATAATCCTAATATTCACAGACTTCCAGCCTCAATACCAATGCAACCACAACAACCTAATCCTGCCATACAGTAAGTTTTATTTCTATTTCATAACTTATCTATCTTATTATGTGGTGCGATTCGCGATTCGTTTTTTACTTGGAAACATTCATTAAAATTCATTTTAATAAATTTAAAGTCGTAATCAAATCATTCCTATTACTATAGGGGGAGGAGGGTTAGTTAACGTTATTACATATATTATTTTCTGTCTTTTCTACTTATATGTATCTATCTATATACATATATACACACACACATACATACATAAATACACATGTATATATGCAAATAAATAATTTTATTTATATGCATTTCTAAAATTAAATATTTAGACGACAACCTTTTTCTGGAAGAGGAATTCTTAGAATTTTATTATTTTTTGAATATTTAGCAGCAGAGGTATTTATCAATATAATATTTAATTTAAATCATTTATAATACAACCAGTTAAAGTATGGCTAATTAATATATAACTAATTATTATCTCAAAGATGTCACCAAATAAAAAAGATATATCGTATTGGAGAAGAACTATATCAGAGTTCTTTACAGAAGGAGGGAGATTTTTTTATTCATTACAAAGTTCAACGGATTTAAAAAATAAAAAAAGTTTTGGTTAGAATCCTTTATAATTGATAAATCATGAATCGATTGATCAATTCCCCCATTTATTTATAATATTCTTATTTAATAAATTGCTAAATAGACTTACCAACACCACTGATTGCTAGATTTTTCCAAGTAAATTTTGATTCAGGCGTAAATTCAATACAAATAACAATGAATAGTGTCAAGGAAAGTCTTGGTAATCAACTTACAATAAATAATAATCTGGAGAATAAATTAATTAACACAATAGAAGCAAAATCACAGATGATCTATAATTATGCCAATGGTTCAAGGGTACATATGATTGATTGGAACGATATTCTATAATTATTATGATTGTTAAATATTTAAATATTATTTTTACGTTTAATAGGTTGTGTTTATTGGTAGACTAAGGATTCGTCTTAATTTAAGTACAATGATAGAATATTTTGAATTCCTTACAGATGATTATATAGAATATGTGCCAAGAAATATAGAGACATCATGTCTTATTACTGAATATGGAATAACGATGAAAACTTTAAGATGCTTAGAGGTAAATTATCTTATTGATTACTTGATTACTGCCAGAAAAAAAAAAGATTCATAAAATGAATGACATTTTATTTAATTATATAAGGTTGCTGAAATTGTGGTTACATTAAATGATATAATATCGATGACCATTGAGCAAAAGAAAGGACCTCAACGTAAGTTTGTTATTTTATATATATCATTAATGTTATTTATAATATTTAGAAGTTCTTTTCTTCCAAATAGATGTATTATATCATCCTATCACCCCTAATAATCAATTACAAAATCCACCGCTTCATAATTTGGTAAATCTACAACAACGACAACAACTACATACTCAACAATTACAACAACAATTACAGCAACGACAACAACAAAATCATCATATACAACAACGACATCTTCAACAACATCAGTTTCAGCAACAACAGCTACAACAACAACAACAATTAATAATTGAGACTAGTTATCAACAACAACTTCAACAGCAATTAGTAAAAAATCAACAACAGCAACAACAACAACAACAACAACAACAACAACAGCAGCAACAGCAGCAACAACAACAACAAAATCAATCAAGTAATAATATACCTCCCACACCTAATCCATCGCCACCCTCTAAAACTACTAATAGAGATAAATCAGATAATAATAGTATCAATGATATCAATATCAGTAATAATAATAATATTAATGGTACAGATAATAATAACGCACAGTCTTTACCATTGTCATCTACTAATGATATTTCAACATCATCACCATCAATATCAAATAATAACATTTTAAAATCAGAATCACCAAAACCAATAAAACTACTGAACCAACGTATTTATTTATTTATATTTTTATGTTACAGAGTTTATGGTAATTTCATTAATTATTAATAATAAATTTTGGTTTTTTTTTTTTTAGCAAAGAGGACATCAGGAGATTCCACACCAAAGATAAATAAAACAGTAACAAAGAAAAGGAAGACAACAAGATGAAGAAATTAATCAATTGTTAATTATTATTTATATACATATATATAAATAAATATCATATTCTTTCTTTCATTCTTCCTCTGCCTCTTGGTTCATTTTTTCTTCCGTCTCCATCATTGCATCCATCTACCTTCTTACACTAATCGCTTTATAGGATTTTTTCTATAGAAGAAAAAAATTATTCACTCCAAAAAAAATAAGTTGATTTTTTTGCTACTTTATCTATATTAATTATTAATAAAAAAGAAAAATTATAAAATATATATATATATATATTAATTTATTTATTTATAGTGAAGAGAGGGATATTAATATGTATTTAAATCAAAAAATTAATTCCCTGTTTTTATTTTATTATTATTTTTTTTAATGGTTAATATAGATTACTTTTGTACATTCTTTTTTATTCCGGGTATCATGTATTGCATACAACTAATTAAAAAGCAAAGGATGAAAGGGATACATGTTATATAGAAGCAAGATTATTATTAGCAAATTATTTATTTATATATTAATTAAAATGAGAAAAAAAATTAAACATATATATTTATATTTAAAACTTGTATAATAATATTAATAAATATTTTACCCAAGCATAAAATTCTATGACGATAATGATGACGATTAAGTTATTATTATTATAACAATAGCGATTGATTACATTGTAAATGTTAATTATATAATAAGATTCTTCATTCATTCGTTCGTTTTTTGCGAGAATATATTAAAGGGATTTATTAGAAATAACTGATGTTAGTATTATTAACAGTATGCATGTGTTTAACAAGTAAGATTACACTATTAAAACCGTTATTGCTGAAACAAGATGGCTTAAAATAAGCACGAAATATGGAGAAAAAAAATGATAATTCATACAATTTTTGAAGAAGATTTTATTAATCAATTAACATACTTTTAGTATAAGTGAAGTCGGCTAATAATCTGCATACAAATTTCTGAATTTGTTAATAGATTTCCGCATTACCTTCTGGTTATAGAAATAAAATCACCAATTTAGGTAGTAAACGGCAGTAGCCAAAAAATCATTGAATGTGCATACTTGACATCCAATTTCAAAATAAATAAGGTGTGAAGTTATTATATACCTTTATTTAATATCATTATAAATAATTAATTTCATTTCCCAAGATATTTTATATAATATCCAAATAAATAAAATAAGATAAATAACTTTATTAGATAAAATTTAGTGTATCTAATTCAATCTGTTGAGAATCTAAAAAAAAAAATTCATCACAAGAGTGGAATATTAATAAATATTATAAAATTTGAAAAAAAGAAAATAATCAATGATAATTACCATTATTATCACCAATAATTGTCACTTTATTGGAATTCACAGGTTGGGGAAGGTTTGTAAATTTTAATAATTTGCTAGTATAAACAGCATTTGGATGAATTACTCCAGTAATGGTTGATGGATCAAATTTTATTTCATCCATTTCATCAAACTCTTTTCTAATTGATTCATAATCTCCAAAATTCTGATAATCTAATGAATCATACCAAATTTTAATAGTATTATAAATTTCATTAGCAGTTGGACGTTTATCTGGATTGGCATCCATGCATTTGAATGCTAGTTTAATATAGAATTTTGGTGTGTTGTTTGAAAATCCAGGTCTTATACCTTCACATATTTTCATTGCAAGACCAAAATTATGTGCCAAATTATTAAATGGTTGTTGGCCAGTTGAAACTACAGACATCAGAACTCCAAAACTATATATGTCTGATGCTGTTGTGTATGGTTTCTCCTTCAAAACTTCTGGTGCAACATATGGTAGCACTCCAAATATATCATTTTTGTTTGATGATGATGTTTGACTAGCTGGGCATGATAATCCTAAGTCTGCAATATATGAAGCAATATGAAATTGAAGAATATTACCACT